CTACACCCCTTCATGCAGCACCTGCTTCTCAGCACCCCCACTTACCGCTTTGACTCTCATCGGGCTGCCCTTGAAAGTGGCGTTGCGCTCAAGAGGCAAGCTGTGACGTATGTCCTCACAGCAAATCTATCTGCAGGTTGGTTGCGTGTGTCATCCCCAAACCTGAAACATACCATGCAATCTCAGAAGTTTTCATGGCATTTTCACTATTTGCCTTTCGATTTTTCATCACTTGGGATATACTAACTAATGCTAACCGGTTCTATCTCAGTCGCTAAGCCCTAGCCCTCGAACCCTAAACCCGCAAACCCTAAACCCTAAAACGTGTAGGCTCCCAGACAGCACCAGTGCCAGCTTCTTCAGCAGCCCCTGGTCAGCGGGCGCCGTCGTGCCGGGCTTAGGAGTGAAGGGAAGGAAAAGAAAGAGGTTTGGTTTGGGGTTGAGGGTTTAAGGTTTAGGGTTCAGGATTTAGTGTTCAGATTGGGGTTCTACGGGTTATATGGGGTTATATTGGGTTTCTGAAGGCTAGAGGTTTGTATAGGGTTATGTAGGGGTAACTGGGGGTGTAAAGTGTTTGTATAGGGGTTTTAAAGGGGTTATATATTGGTTGTCATTAGAGGGGTTATATAGGAGTTATGTAGGGATTATAGGGATATCACCCCCAATAATGGAATCAAGTGGCAAAGAAAATGGAGAATGAAATGCACGCCGGGATTCTGTAAGACCAGGCGCACCAGAAGAACTGGTAAGAATTGCAGTCTTTGCAGCAAACATCATGAGAGTGCTGTGAATTCCTTCGGCGAAGCTCCCAAGAGAAGGATGGTTGACTTCCCTTGACATATACCCCCCATGTAATCCCTACATACCCCTTGTACACGTTTATATACCTTTATATAGGCCCTATACCCCCACATAACCCCTATATACCCCGATATAACCCCTACTAACCCTATATACCTTTATATGACCACTATATCATCCCCTTTGAAGGCACCGAATCTAAGGCTTGCCTTCTGCTGCTGGCCTCCGCCGTGCCGAATGCCGCAGTCGCACAGGACTTCTTTGGCGGTGGCGGGGATGACGATGGAGTTGAGCCAGCCTCAGATTCTGTACCCTTAAAGGGGATGTAGGGGTTATATAAAGGTACATACGGGGGTACATAGGGCTTAGGGTTTCCCAAGCTGCTGAGGCTGCGGCGCTCAAAAACTCGCTGTCCGACATCTGGGAACTTTCAGCTTTCAGCAGAAGCCGAGTGCTGTTCCAGTCAGCTCAGCAAAGCCAAGGGCAGGGCCTCTAAATTTGGCGTCAAACTCGTATCAAGCGTTGACAACAGCAAAGCGGGGTCAAGCGAATCAGCTAGAATCCCACGGCTTGTTTTGGTGCTCCGTTCACTCCTTCATCTTGTGCTTGTAGGAACATGGGGGCCCAGGCTACAAGGTGTCTACAGGAAATACATGACATCCGCCCACCAAGGATCGACGGCCACTGATCGAGAGGCCCTCGAGCATTGCCAATATGTGTACAGGGCAGAATGCCATCTACGACAGTGCCCCGATTGGAAGCACCTGCTCTAGCCTGTCTAGAGCTGGCAGACTGTTGATGTTGTAGAACTCATAGACTTTGCTGCTCAGATGACGTGCCCAGCCTTTGGGTGAGGTTTTGCTTCGAATTAGAAGCCTGCGTTGCAGATGCTTCCAGGAGTCCGCCAGTGCCGCCGCCTGATGACGATAAGGCGCCTGACATCGCCCCGGAGGCAGCTGGTGGGTGGGATGCAGTCAGCTGAGACAGGGGCAAGCATGTGTTGACAACTGTGCTGCCATACATTTCCGGTGACAAAAGCTCGCTGGAAATTGATGAGCTTTTTGACATTTCCGGAAGGGAAGGAAGCAGCTTTTCATGTTGTGTTATGCAGGTATTTCTCTATTTAGCCCCTAGTAGGGAACCCCATGGTTACCCCTTCATAATCCTTGTATATGCCAAGAGTCCCTTAGGCCCCCCTTTTGATCAATACCCATGTTGTTGGGAAGGCGACGAGAGAAACAGCCCCCTGCCCCAAACAGACGGGTGTACTGTCGCGGAACCCCAAGAATGTAGGAAGAATTGGAAGAAAGATCAGTTTTGGCGTTTTAAGATTTATAATGGGAGGGGATGATAAGACTCGCAAACCCCGCTCGAACTCCTCGGCAGGGAGTCGTACAATCTTGCTTTGGATCAGGAGCGCGAGCGAAGGCGAACAACGCCCTCGACGCAAATTGCGGAGGAGGAGAGCTGGTTGCAGTGTTGCAGTATAAGGGTCTAGGGTTTGATGGCGAATCTGCATCCCTTTGAGAACGGGTTGTTGTTTTTTCATGAATTGGATTTACAAGAATGTCAAACATTATTGGAAGGGGCTACAGCCTCAAGTAGCTGTTAGTCTTTGGGACTATGGTCTCAAAGGGCTACTAAGTCGGTGATTCAGGGTGTTGCTTTTGGTCTGAATGTCCCAAGTGCAGTGAAGGCAACAAGAGCAACAGTTCCTCGAATCATCCTGTGCCGCTTGACAAGGAGTGGTACAAGTACGGTAAGGAGGTCTTCATTGCAAAATGTGCCGGGCACCGCACCCAGCTTCAAGTATTCGCAGCTGCCACCAAAGAGAGTCGCTTCGATGCTTCAAGTCAGCGTGTGCGAGCTGCGATGTTCCATTCTTAGCTGGAGCCCGCTAAAAATGGTAGTTTTTGAATGCAGCATGCGGCATGTCAACATAATCCAAGCCTGCACGGAGCGGGCTGGAAGCTTCGAACAGATCTGGTGCTGTACCGTTGTTTTTACTTACAGCCAAGTAGAGCACTCCGCACTGCCAAAGTAGAATACTTGGCACGTCTACGGTGTTTGCCTACACTACTCCTCATACTCAACACAATATTGTCTTTGTGGACATGACCTCTGTTTTCGTGGTTTTGCCTGAGCAATGACAGGGGCTAACCATCAGTCGATACCTGGTGTTCTGGTAGAGATCACGGAGGGCGTGATGACAGTATAATTCAAGCTCTAGGCCCTAAAGCCCCAAACCCCAACTTACTGGTTCTTAGTAGGGAATAATGGAATATACACCCTTAAAATCCCCATATAATAATATGTTCCTTTATCCCCTACTAAGATTCAGTAAGTAAAGATTTGTTGGGTTCCTCGGGCAGACCCGTACTGTAGTAGGGATCCCTAGTCTTTCTTGCAGGACCTTCAAGAATTTGCAACCCTAAACCCTCCACCCTCAACCCTACACCTTTAAACCGCGTGTTGTTCTAAAAGCCTGTCCAAAGAGGGATCATTGGGAATAGACTCACTTAAAGCGGGATCCTGACCCAAAATGAAGCTACGTTGCGACCATCTTAGGGGGCAGGTACTCTGAACAACTACCATATCTATCATACATATATATGTTATATCTCATCACTACATTGCCCTATACTTCCCTCTATACATATATACAAATCCCTAAACCCCAAACCTACTTCATGCCCCTAAAACTTTAGCCTAAACCTTAAACCGACTTACATACCTTAAAAACGTTAGCCTAAACCTTCAACCCTGACCTAAATACATGCCCCTATAACCCAAACCCTAATCCTTGGGGAGGGTGGTTGCTGAGGTGTCATCCCGGAGGCATGAACCAGATTCGTATCTCACGGGGCTCCCTCACTGCAATGAGAAGCTAGAAGGGACTATTTGAGCCAAAGTCTAAACTCCTTAAGGGGGGCTATATAGGGGATCATATAGGGGAGTGTTCTAGGGGTTACTAAGGGAGATACTAGGAGTTTAGACTATAGCTCATTTCGGGATTTAGAGGGCTTTATAGGTAGGGGTTATGGATGGGCTTACAGGGCCTTACAAGGATTGAATGGGGTTCTGTAGGGTTTCATAGGCATTATGTCGGGTTTGAGGGCATAGGGATAGGGTTAATTATATTACAGAGATATATAAGGTTTAGGGATTAGGGTTTGGGGGTTTAGGGTTTAGGCTTTATGGTATTCAGGAGGATGGGGTTTAAGGGTAGCTTCAACCCGACACAACCACTGCGCCACTGTTAGCGCTACCTGGACCTTCAAGGGCCCTTCCATTCCTGTGTACTATACTTACCGCTCGTCACGCAAACCCCGCAGAATCCTCAAAAGCGATCCTTGTAATCCCTTTATATTCCCACAGGGGCCCCTAGCGGCCCCCAATTCTTATGGCTGTTGCCATTGCGCTCCGATTTTCTGAGGTTTGAACATTGAAGATATGGAGCGATGGGGCCTCTTGAAGGACGCCGACAATCTATCCGGGTTTGTGGTTCATTTAGAGGTTCAGGGCAATTATAACCCAATTATTGCGTGGACTCATAATCAAGCTATACTTACACCAAGGGACTTCAATTCGGCTTATACGTACAGTTATGATTTGTTATGATTGCTCTGAACCTTCCAGTTGGGTGGTGAGAGCTTGCTGATGCTCACAGTCGAGGTAATATAATCTGGTGATGATAGCAACCTGATGGTGACATGATTCCCGCACAGCAAGGACGCTGCAAACACTTAAAAACAGGGTGCTGGGTCACATTGGTAGGGGAGGTGGTTGTGACATGGCAGCAGTGATTAGCTTTTGGAGTTCTTTTAGACACCTTGTCCTCATGGCTCAAATGCAAATGTCTTCTTGCGTGTGTGGCGGGGAAGCTCGCTATTGAGATTCTTGGATGCTGCTGGGACGCCCTCGTTCCGGTGCGCAGTGTCATCTGATCCAAGGAAGGCACGGCGCCTCCAGCCTCTCCATCCGACGTCTCATGAATCCAGAGTTCTTCCTTTACGGCGTTGAGTGCCGAACGTGCTAGTGCGTTTGCAACTGAAATCTTCTCCTACTCATGTTCCTGGCAGGAGCCGCAGAAGATCACAGAGATCATCCGCTATGGCCAGGGCACCATGCCAGGAGCGCGATAGCGTCATACCAGAGACAGCAAAGCTTGCAGAGGTTTGGCCAACTTTGGGCCCTCATATGTACCCCACCAGAGTACCTCTGGAACCCCCAAAGAACCTATACCAATCAGTCCCAATATGATCCCGGTTTCCATGCATTTTTTCTATTTGATCTATTTGATTCTTGCATCTGGTTCTCCATTATTAAGATTATATCCCCAAAGCGGCAATCTGTACGGAATCCCCAGAGGATCCCAATGCAATCATCATTTAAAACCTTTAGCCAACACTTTATATTCCTTATGTAACCCCATATTCCCATGTAACCCCTATATTGTGCTGCACGTGCAAACGGCTTGGTCAGGCTTCGCAAAGGATTGCCCTGAGAAAAGTGGCGTGGAGTGCCTTGCCTGCAAGGATGGCTTAACATGGGGATTGCTAGAAACAGGGGGCTTTTAAGGACTTGAGGGATATGTCTGATTCTAGAGTATCGGGGGGTTTATGGAGGTCCCTATTGCAGAAGACAGAGTGTCTAATTCGAGAAATACCCACACTACTTGGGTCCAGAAATCAGGGCGCATCTGCTAGACTCCCAGCAAGGAGGCGAAAAGTAGCTTAGAGTTGATACTGGCACCCCCTTTACGTATGGAAAAACCGCTTAGTTGATGGCCAAAATTCTGCATGACCTCAAGGATACTATACTACCGCAATGCCTCCTACAGATTTTAGTATATCACAGTCTTTGCAATATGTTGTCCACCAACAGTCTTACACAGGCTACTATGCTCATGTTGGGAGCTTCCAAATACACGGGTGCTTGTAAGGAGGGTCACGGCATCCTCCAGCCCACCTCGAGAGAGGTGAGCTCCTTGTGATAGGTAGGGTACATCTTGCTTTGGAGTTGTAACCGCCATGTAAACGTTAAACTCCACAAGCCGTGGGGTTTGTGGGTGGGTATAGGGACTTTTTCTGTGGGGGATTGTATGGGGATTATTATAACTATGGGTCTAATCCTCCCTACACCTAAGACCCTAACCCCCAAACCTCCAAACATTAACCCCTAAACCCTACAGTCTTGAGCAACTGCCAGGCGTTGCGGTGTCGTCGTACCGCTGGACGAGGCTTGAGCTTCCTATTAGGGTGTAGGGTCTAGGGTTTAGGGTCCTCCTGGCCCCATAAATACCGCTTAACTGAGGAAGATGTAGGGAGCATATAATATATGACAGTTTATCCAGGGTAGTTAAAAGGAATATTTAGGGCTATACCAAATGTCAAATGATCCTTGTCGCACGGATCCCTCAAAATGGGACCCTTCGCTTTGCACAGCTCCCGAAATAGGTATAATAGCACAGGTAACAGCAGTGGTACAGTACAGTAAGTACTCGCGTCATAGCAACCGTGCAAGACAGCATCATCATTAGTTCAATGTAGAGGTACCAAAGGCGCACGATTCTTTCAATGCACCTTGCCTGGAGGCCACGCTGCTTGATGTGGAGGACCGGACGCCGAAGCTGTCTGCCAGTTGCAACGTTTTGCCCTGCCAGTCTTCCATTAACCACGTAGTGAGCGCACACCGATGCCCAAGCGCTGCAGCCATCGCTTCCAGCACGTGGGTAGGAGCTCGATGCACACATGTTAAGAGACTGGGGTCTGGCCCCGCACTTCCAGGACTTCATGATGAACCGCATGAATTCGGGTTGGAGGGGACGAGGCTGAGACAGCGTGGTGACAGCATCCCGTGCAAAATGAGTGCGCTTCTATGCAGCTCGGAAAGGCAGACTTGTCGGAACCGGCACCTTGTCGCTGATCGCTTTGGCAGGGATACAATGCCTTTGGTGGGATCACTCAAATCTTCACCCCGAACATCACTAGCAGGAATTGGCATGTCGACCACAGTATAATTAATCAATGCACAAACCTTTGTAGGCAGGGTCCATGTAGACTGAGGGACCATGCACTTTCTGTCCTGCGCGCTGCTGCTGTTTTTGCTCCATAGCCAACAATGTCAGCAGGGCCTTGAGCTGCCGCGGTCTCAGGCATGACCTCCGTTTCGAGGCCCAGGGCCATGGCTGCTAGTGGGCAGGTAGATTCAGCGGGTGAGTTGTCCTAGGACATTGCTGTCCCAATACTCTAGAATCTAGAAGGGAGGGACTCATAGATTTTTGGGGGCCCTTTGCGTCCCAGGTCCTGCCAGACTGTAGAGGCAGCTGAAGGGCCCGTGGCCAGCTTCCTCTTGTGTCCACTTGCATCTTAGTGGTAGGAGTTTGGTTTAGGAATGATGACATCCACTATCATCCACTCTTTCAGATTGACGGTACGTACTACCCTGCATGATAGCCTGAGTCACCAAATTCATTCTCAGGCAAGCAGGACCAGGTTAGTGGTGTCTGCGGGGCGTCGCCGCAATTATCAATTCCTTCTCGTCTCTCTTGCCATCAGTTCCCAGTTATTTTGGGTGTGTGTAACGGGCGGCCTCACTTGCAGAAATCTGCATGATCTAAAATGAGGGGAGCAGATAAATAAAGCAACATGGCATGGAATGCCAGAACGTTGTCCACAGAGTTGGTGAAGTTCAATTCTGAAGAAAGGTTGTCTCATGGCTATTCCCTCAATGACGTCTACTCCTGTGTGGCTGCCTCAGAATTTGGGAAGATGCTAAAGTTATCTATGGTTCGAACCTTATGGTGCTGTGCCAGATGCTGGCAGCCATTAGCCATCCCCCCGTCCCTTCACTTTTTGGGCCTTGATCAGGGTTCCCTTCCGGAATGTCAGACACGATCGTTTCTCAGTCAGTGAGCTAATTGGAACATATTGGAACAATAAGGCTCAGAGCACAGCTTCATGACTCACATGAGCTATAGTCTAAACTAGGGGACTACTATAGGGGTATATAGGGGTTATTAAGGGGGATACTAGGAGTTTAGACTATAACTCACATGGAGCTCCAATTCTTTCCTGAGCTAATTGGAACGATTCCGATTCTTGAAGCTCCTGCAGATGGCGCAAGCCGCCGCCCTCACTGCTGCGGATAATGATAATGATGGTGATGATGGTGATAACCATGATGCAAAATCTCGTTCTTGGCGTTAAGCATCTTATTTCATGGACTTTTGACGCCGTTACACAGCCACTGAGAGTGGGTGAAGCTCAAGCATGGCTAGCTTGGCCAGTGATTTTCTAGAAGATGTACCGCGCTTGGTGCACGGAGCTTGCCAAGCTCTTTCAGAAGCCGAGTGTGCAAAATGCCCGGGCATAGTAAAAACCAGCATGCGCGAGTGGTGCAGCGGCCATGTTGAATGTCACTGGGCCGGGTTTGGAGTTGTGAGTTCCTGCTGCTTCAAGAACTGAGAAGGGGAAGGAAATAACCTGCGAATGTAACTGTATTGTATTGGCACCATTTTCAATGCCACGTATTGCAAGCCACAAGGTCATGGCAGCTGCAAGCTTTGGCAGTGGTTCAGAGAGACAGGAGATAGGCAGCTGGCGGAAAGAGCTGAAGTTTGCGCTGGCCGCTGCGTGGGGTGGGATCGTTGTCGTTTCTGGCCCTTTGGTGCGGAAAAATGGCGAGGGCACTGGTTTACAGAAGCTTACGGCGTCGACAGATCAAGGTTGGGGTACCATGCTCGAACCTGCCCTCTGCGAGACCGACGCAACGTGAATGAACCTATTGTGAGGCAACACTGTGGTCATCCTATCTTCGACAGCCGCCAGCGCGCGTGGCTGGAAGCAGCTCAAGCAGTTCTTCGAGAGATCGAGAAAGTGCCCTTGCCTGAAGGTCCATTCAAGGCCAGCCTGCGCATAGAGGCCATGATCGGCGAGGTCCGTGCTATGAGCTGGGGTATGAATGGCTGCCAGGCCATAGTTGTGGTGGACCCATGGGGCCTCTCTCCAAGAACCAAGACTTGTTCCAGGCAGGCAGTAGCCCTGGAAGCCGACAGCGCCATGCAAATGGCTCTCCACTGTCTGGTTCCGCTGTTTGAGACATTGACTCTGATCTGGTCTGACAACATTTTTTGTCGAAATTTTCTGGCCCATGTGACAATGACCAGAGTTCATGAGAACAACATGCTTTGGGGGATTCTGAAGCCAGTCGAGGTCCGCTGCCGCAGTGTTGGGCAGCCTGTTGGCCACCAAACGCCTGGATCGGCTCGTCACATCGTCTGTTCGGGCAGATTTCAGCAAGGCCCTGCAGAGTCCTGTGGCAGACCGCGAACAAGCTTCGGCATTGTTGGACAAGCTTGATGCTGGGAAGGCCGTGCGACACCTTATTCAAAATGCGTCTGCTTGCAGTGAACGATCTCTATCTGCTAGACTCGATGGTGGGGAACTCCTGCTTTTGGGGTAAGCATTCGTGCCATGAGTGCATCATCGTAACACATGCACCTACCTCTTTAACGCCAGAGCGACGTGGGAAGCATGAGAGGTAGCACTTGCAGACCTGTCCCCGTAGTAGTTTCCAGAAATCGGGGGCCCAATATAGGTCCCAAGTTATTCTATTCCGTTATGCATATTCCCCAAAGGGACCCTAATTCATGGAAAGCTCCAGTCTCCTGACAATGCAGGAAGAAGAGCCTTGCAGTGAAGATCCTTCCCATCCCAGCGTGATCCAGTGCCTGGGCGGCTTGGTGGGCTGTTTCAATGGAGAATCAAACAGAAACTGGGGTTATAGGGTAGTTAACAGGGGTCAGGGTTTCCATGAAACAGGGTACCTATAGTGAGGATTATTATGGTAATCTGTCTACAATGGGGCCTCTAATTTAGGTAAGCCACATGCGGTGTGGTTACCTCCCTGGCCTTATGATAGAACTGCTGCCAACGTCTCGCTCGTACTGCAGTGTAGACAGCTGAACCCTAGAAACCCTAAACCCTACTCCTGAACCTTGAGCCCTAAGCCCTATTGTTTCAGACTAACTAGGCCTCTGGACCATCCAGAGCCCGCTGCTCGGATCCCTTCGGACGAAGCCAAGGACATCGTCGCCATCCAGGAGCTCTGGGTATGTTCGGGGGTCTGCCCAAGAGCTGCAGGCCCTGCTCTGATAACTGCTATTACAGAAAAACACTCCTTGGATTAAGATGTCAGCCGTTCCTAACTGGTTGAATGCTCATAAACTATGTCTAGGATGCATGGGCGAGTCTGTCCAGGTTTGTCTAATAAAAGACCCTCGTGAACTTCGTAAGCATTGCATACATCCAAACTTTCGTAGCAATAACGTTTGTTCGTCCAGGCATCTCCTTTGCTCCAGTCTTGCAAGATTGAATCCTGACTTGTACTTGCCGCAAGAACAACGCGCAGTACGGCAGATGCATGGAACTTCCGCAGGGTCAACGTCTTCCGTGTAAATGGCGGGGCATCGGCATGAGCCATGCTTGATGTAGACTCGGGTTTTCTTACGCGTGCTTGAAATGCAGAATTCATGATCCCGAAGGAGGCTGACTTTGTGCAGCGTTTGGTAGATACCGCTGTGGAGACCAACGAGGTCGGAACAAAGGATTTTCTCGCCTCGTGAAGCTGTGCTGTAGTTTGGTGAACGGTCTAGGAAACTATGGAGAGCAAGGAAGACGAGATCTTCATTGGCAAGGCCACTGGGTTTATTTGGCAGCTAGAACATAGTGAAGACTATAGGGACCACATTGATTTCCCCGATATCCCCAGCGGGACTTCCCTGTGAGGCTAGGCCTTCCAGCTGTGTCCAGCTTCAATGTACAAAGCCCACACGCTGTGCGAGATTTTGGTCGTGCTTCAAGGACGTTCTCATTTCTGAAAGCATAACCATCATGAGCCTAGCAATTTTTACCTGACAGAGTTGGAGGGCTTTCCCTGATAGGTGTTAATTAGGCAAGCGTGTCAGGCACGGCAGGGTCATCCGGGATAGGCTGGAGGGTACGCGCAGAAGACTGTTCAAGTGCCTCTCCCCAGTGGTGTTTCCACCTGCCGGCTACCTACAGACCTTTTTTGCGAACAAGGAAGGTCGCAGTCAGCGGTCATTGGTCTTGGGAATGTTTCACTGCTCGCAGCGAGAACCTCCACCAGCCGACGTAAACCCTAAATACAGCTTGCCCAGGTGAATCGGAACGACCATGAGATTGTGCAAGCTTTGCTAACGGGGGCCTCCTTGCAGCGTTGCCGCCAACAGCTGGAGGCTGCAGGCTACGAGGTTCGAACGGCCCAGGGTGCCTTCATCTTCGTTCATCCCTATCAAATGGCCGATGTCCAGCGAGCCCTTGGCACGGTAGAGCTGAAGGCCTCCAATATAATCTTCGCAAGATCATTGGAGAACCTAATCGCAGAGACACTGGGCGCATTTCGCCGCCGGGGCGCTTGGATCAGCAGCAGGGACAGCCTGCTGAGCATGCATTCAGCGGGAAGTACATCTGCAGAGCCAGGCTCCCTCAGGTCGAGCGAAACTGACAGGTCAGTAGAGGGTGTCATCAAACATATCCGCACGTTTCTTGACTGGCATCCTGCTCGTCAAGCTCAACGTGTGACATCCTCAACGACAGATGCGGACAGCGGAAAGGGAAGGAATCCACGACGCACAGTTGAGCTTTTGTAGGATGTTCCGTCTACTTGTTTGGGCATCCTGCAATTTTCTGCTAAGATCTTCTGTAGCGCGGCTGTTGGGCTCCTGCTGATTACCATTTAGGCCTTGATAAGTGAGCAGTGTTTGCCGCATGGGCAGGTGAGGTAATGCTGGCCACGTGCTTCATGTACAGTGCTTTGCGATGTATAGATTCCGCATTTTTCTTTCTTGCTAGCCTGCCTGAGGGACCAGACAGCAATCAAGACACATTGCGAGTGAAGTTGAAAGTTGCCCTCACCCGGACGAAGGGATCGGCTTCGGTGAGTCGTTGCTGGACCCATTTGGAGCTGAGATTCCAACACCCAAGGGTTCCCTAGTCTAGTTCATGTTCGAGGGCTTTTGGGTGGGTTTGCAGAGCTTCTCACCGAGACCGATTCAACAGGACACAAACCAAAGAATTCTTGAGAGCAACGGATCTTCAAGAGAGGAGTCCGCAACAATGCAGTGAGTGGTGTTTCGTCAAACTAGCGCAATTCTGAGACTACACTGGTCCCCCGCGCGGCAGCCTGAATTTGCCCCCGCGCCAAAGGCGAAGCAGCCGTGCAAGTCCTTAGGCAGCGGTGCATGTCCGGAATTGGAAGCTATTGGAAGGCGAAGCAGCAGTGCAAGTCCTTTCGCAACACTCCACGTCTAGTTTTGGAGTTCCTGGTCGGCCTGCGACAAATGAAAATATCGTTGCCACAAGGATGCAAAGAAAGGCAATAACTGTAAGTAGTAATAATCATAGCAGTAATAATGGCAGTTGTAATGATACAGTCGTGGGACTGTCCATTCTGCTTCCAGCTATTACGATATTTTAGGCCAAAGTCGGTTCATATCTCTGATTAATCTGGGGTTATATATAGGAAATAATGGGGAAAACATGGAAACGATTACGCTATAGTATATAATGGATTGTACTGGGATATTATACGGACTGGGGGTTAGTAGGGAACAAGGGAATATAATACATATATCTATGTATTGGTTATATGGTGACTATATTCTCTGATGTTCCCTGCTGACCACAAGCACATTTTTCCTGATTACAGATTGTTGCATGTGTGGGTCGTCTATGGAGCGACTTATGAAGACCTCCACCAGAGCAGCGTCACTACCCAGTAGAGCAGAGACTGTATATGCCAATTGCCAATATGCCAACAGGCAGCAGCCCCACAAGCCTACATATCTGTAGCTATATACATACTAACAGCGAACAAGAGGAGGACAAAGAGGAATGGTGGTCATGTTCGTATTGGCAGCGCCGGTAATCAGTAGTCTGCCAGTCTGACGCCGCCTCCTAATCCTCGGCATCATGCCTTACCATGCTCTTTCTTGTGCCTGTCAATCTCCCTCCGTCCTTGCCCTCCTCGTCACCATTGATGTCGTTGCGCCGCCACGAATACAAGAACCGTCAGAAGGTTACTGACATCACAGGGACGGGGGACCCACAGTCAGCTTTCAAGTCTTAATTCACATTCTAAAAGCCAAATTTGTGGCTGCGCCATATCCTGCTTTGTCTTCCGCATTGAGCATCCTTGCAGCATGGAAGGCTTCAGCTACTCCTTCAGACGATGATGCGGTAAATGCCTTCGACAAGAAGAACACACAACAATAAGGGCACATTGATGGCAATGCGATAGCTGTACAACCCGTAAGCGGAGAACTGTCTTCCCCAGCAGTTGCAAACTGCGACGTCCCTTCAAAATTTCAGGAGTTTTTGCAAGGCCTCTGTAATAATGCTGGGAGTCACCATAACAGCAACTAGAATGGCACTAGCTGTACCGTTGCCGGAAGGCTTAGGAGGCATTGCAGCTGATTGGTGCCTGAGGCGCAAGATGACTTGACTTCCCCGAAAGGCCGGGACGTTAATGCAGTAGAGTCAGTAGAGCCACCTTGTAGACTGATGTGAATGCAACTGTAACTATGCATCTACAACAAGTGAGTGCAGTTGCGTTCCTAGGGTCTAGTCCTAAGCATGGATGAAGTTACCAAATGAAGACTCCAACTGAATTGTGTTGGTCCTGCTCTGGGGACCATCACGAGCGCAGACGCCATTCTGGTAATTCATTTTTGTGCATGCACAAGGGTATTCGTGTGTTGTCAAGCCTGCAGCTGGTGGAAAGATAGGCCCAGATAGGCTGCTTTTGATGCCTGTGTTGCTCGGAGGCGAGAGACGGGCTGAAGTCCTTTTCAGAAACACGCCCAGACTGCATGTGTACAGTACTAGTAGCACAACCTTCAGGATGGTTGGATGAAAAGTTTGTCCGAGCACCAGTCTAGAATTCAATGCTGCCTCCGGGTCACACGCAGTATGAGACAAACAACTGCTTCTGCGAGTCTGTTGTAGCAAAATCTCTAGCTGCCAGTCTGCGACCTGCGCACAGGAAGAGTTGCCGGCAGCCGGACTTCTGCCAAATGCCGCAGCCATTAGAGCCCAAGATCCCATGCATTACGGCCACCCATCCTGTAGACCTCACAGCCACGAACCGTACCAGCATGCTAACGACCTGAGAAGAAAGTGCGTCACCTGTTCCGACGTGAGCATGTAACAATGTAACAGCTGCACTATTGACTATATACAGTCACAAGATAGCCCGACTGTAAAAGGGGGGTCTGCGCGAAACCATTGGCCCCTCAGAATGAAGATCCTTCCATTTTTCGGGCGTACTAAGAGAAACCCAAGCTTCAGAAACGCTGATAATAAGAAGCTTAAGCCTCTGTGCTGGGATGGCTCCAGGTCCCACCCCCTCCGCCGCCACTTGCATGCACTTAGGTGTAGCTTATCTCCAACGCCGTAGGTAGCAGCTTCACGCAATTACTTACGAGCATAATCTGGCAATAGTGTCAGTGATTAACCTCATGGAATATCACTTGTTCCTAGCGAACCTGTCAGCACCATTTTGGCACCTCCTTACTGGGGACTAGTTAGGAATAAGGGAATATAGTATGTAGGGATTCTATAGGAATCATATTTGATTATCCCCTACTGACCCCTAGGGAATCAGGAAATATAGTGCGTAGGGATTATCTAGGGATAATGTTCTATCATCCCCTACCATCGCCAGTAAGTCTCAGGACAAGGAATTTCGGTGAGCAAACATGAGGTGGTTAGTAGGGGCCAACATGTCAGACTGGACCCTCTTCAGCCAAGCTCACATGAACTGTAGTCTAAACTCCTGAAAAGAGGGTTATGTAGGGGTTCAGGGTTTAGTGTCTAAACTCCTTACAAGGTTTTTATATAGGAGATTGTTTAGTTTGGGGATGATTATTGGGGTCATGAAGGGGGAGACTAGGAGTTTAGACCATAGCTCACATATAGATATGTGTGTATATATACACACACATAATTTCCTCAAGAATCAAAAATCAGATGGAAACATGCGGAAGATTGAATGAAAACTGGGAGAGTATAGTATAGGGGGCTCATGGAGAACATGGAATCCAACAGCCTAAGCTCCAACACCTTATAACCCCAGGCATTCACAGTCGGATATTTTGAATGAGATTCATTATGTAAACTGTTAATGGGTGGGGGGCAGGACCCAACTTATAACAGACCCCTCATGCTTTACATCGCGCCTGGAAGCTTTGGATCACCGCCTCAGGTGGCGCTGGCTGGAGGCACATGTAGCGGCTATCATGCAGAGGATTGAAGTGATGCCTGAAAATGATGCTACCCTCCCCAAACTCACATGGAAGCACCACGAGTCCCTACAAAGACAGCTTTCCTGTTCCAAAAAGGGGCCTGTGTGTTCGGTTCGGGCAGGGTCCTAGATTAGGCCACTACTTATGCATGGTAGGGCTACTGCAGGGCCCCGAGTGATTGAGTACACTGTCCATCTCCAGTGTCTTTTTCGAGCTCCATAGTAAGAAGCCTCAAGGTCTGCTTAATGGCAAGGCAAAGACTTGAGCTGAAACTTCAAGTTCCCATGGCCAAAGGCGTGCTTAACAGTTTGGAGGTGAAGTTCGTATCATTCCCATCGAACGATAGATGTGAAAGTATATGCCCCAAGGTTCAAGATTCTCCATTTTGTTGTCCATTCCCGACTATATGCCCCCATGTATCCCTATAGACCCTTAACCCCAAGCTCATACCCCCATGGAATCCATATCCCTATATGTCCTTCCCGAAATGAGTAGTATTTTATTTGGGGATGCTATGGTACCCAATATAGAGTAAGATTATATCCTCCTTTTGGGGTATAGTATTCTATAGAAGGAATATTCTCTTACTAGGTTCAACCACCAAAAAAACGCCACTCAAATGATACCCATGCTGTGGCAGGCAGCACTGCGGGGGGTTCTCGCGAGGGCAATCGCTCGCCATCCGCAGCCTCGCCTGGTCCCCACGGGTTTTTCCTCGAGGGCTTACGTGGGCCATAGGGTTTAGGGATTTAGGGTTTATGATTTAGGGTTTAGGGTCTAGGGATTTAGGGATTTAGGATTTAGGGTTTAGGGTCTAGGGATTTAGGGATTTAGGGTTTATGATTTAGGGTTTAGGGTCTAGGGATTTAGGGATTTAGGATTTAGGGTTTAGGGTCTAGGGATTTAGGGATTTCGGGTTTATGATTTAGGGTTTAGGGTCTAGGGATTTAGGGATTTAGGATTTAGGGTTTAGGGTCTAGGGATTTAGGGATTTAGGGTTTATGATTTAGGGTTTAGGGTCTAGGGATTTAGGGATTTAGGATTTAGGGTTTAGGGTCTAGGGATTT